TGCAGGGTTATATTTCAACTTGATTTCTTGTACGAAATTCAAATGGAAAATGTTGCATTAGTAGATGGCGATAGTAATAACTTAAAAAAAAAATCCGGAGATACAAGAGAACTCTAAAAAAACTGTCTCGTAGAGAACAGAGAAGGTGCACATCCTATGCGCGACTTATAGAAGCCGTTGCATGAACGTCACGAGATTTGTGTCACTTTTATTAGCCTGAATACCTTGCACAGTCTGTTTTCCAGAGGCACCATGGTGAACGATAAGTCCATTACATGCGTGATAACCAACAGTATGGCGAGCATCTCCAGCGACTTTGTGTGAGTTATGTCTTCCGCGAACCACACCTATGACTACTTCCCTTTCGGTCCCGCCTTCTTGAACTACCACCTAAAATATACTCAGATGATAAGGATTCTTCGATTGCTTTCACTGATATTTCCTTTAAGCATGTACTAAGACAGTGAAGAGCGTTGAAGAAGCGCTATGATTTCCTACTCAAACTCCGAATGTCCTTTGCTATTTACCTCCGATATAAATATGAACATTTACCTCGCCGCTTCACGGTTCGGTAAATATCCACCAAGAGCTACCGACACTGAAGTGAAAAGTTGTTAATCAACAACTATCACACAATTTCCTGACTTACCTCAAATTTAGGGAATTCCGCGGAAAACGGCTCTTTGTATCTGGCGCCGTGGAATTCTTTTGGTGAAAGTTGACAACTGCTGCAGCTTTTTGGCCCGACGTAGGTTAGCATGTTATCTTCAATATGAATTCCCTCGCTCTGCCACGCCTGTTGAAGGCATCAAACGAAATAATGCCTCATTTAGTGAAGGCAAGGGCCAGTCGCGGTCTGTTAAGTCTGGTTGCAATGAAAATGACCATAAAAAAGTGGTATAATGCGGTAACTTACCGATCGTCCAACGGGACGATGATCCGTTTGATTGGGATTAGGAAATACTTGTCTAAGGATCTGATTGCACATCTCCCGATTTCTGTATGTTTCTGACAGCATGGTGTTGACTTTACTCTCACCTGCAAAAAGGAGTTGATTTAATACATTCTAAATTACCATGGTGTATCATTTATATTCGAAGCGTCAGCTCGAACCTTCCGATGCACTAATTTTTTCTAACATGATTGAAGCGGCCCCCCAATAAATTACTTTGATTATTTCTTGTAAAGCTCACAGGGTGAGTAAAATTAGCAACTCCAAATACTGACTGCGAACACTCTTTTAGAAAGAGATAATATTAATGGTAAGTGAAAAGTAAGAAAAACGTCACCTGATAGGGGAAANTATGTGCTGGAAAGCCTTTCCCTCCTTGGAACTTATCAGGCAGTAGTTGGCAGATCTGACGCCAATTTTTCGCACCATGTGCCTTATGCAGTCGATCATCTTCTTGAAGTCGTCCTTACCTCTCTCACCAGTAGCATTAAGAATGAAGCAAAGTTCTGTGGCTGCAAAGACAAAAATACAATCTCAACCGTCAACCTGCTGACCTCAACCGTTTCAGCGCGCACTAGTTTGTGTTTGTATATTGCATGCCGGAGTAAGGATATTGTTGAACAATTCCTGAGACAAAGTCAAGTGGATCATTTATCTACATCCAATTGGCTCGAAAATACTAAAGAGTATAATATAATCACTCATATAACTATCAAAGTAATTCTACTTCTCGTTCAAAAACATCGTTCTTCAGAAACATCGAGCAACAAACCGGAATATACTCGTATTGGTGAAGAATGGCTTTCATATCATTACACAACGCACCCTTCGACCTCCGTCGCCATGTATTGATGGAATGGGTTAAAAAGAGGATGGCGAACATAAATGGGAAAAGTACGATATCCAGTAGACTATAGAGCTTGAGCAATCTCCATTTCCACTTGCTCCTCAAACGCAGGCCAGCAAATCGACCTCTCCATACTTTTTCGAGCAAGTTGTAGACAACTGGATGGGAGAGAAACTTGATAAAAAAAATGTTAAGCACTGCTTGTCTTTTATAGAAGACTGGAGTAACCTATGTTTAAAAGATGTTTGCCACAAATAAGAACGGGTGATTGTATTGTTGGGCGAATGGCAATTTTGTAATGTTATGTCATCCGCTATTAAATCACACTCCGAAGACACAATGGGAAACCAGAAGGCTTAATTTACGTCTAAAAAATAGTTGGATGATGCGGCGACCAAAACTTTCTTGAATTGTTTACAAGAGAAAATTGAACGGTCAATCGAAGTTTTAAGTTCTTATATCAACATCGCTTGTGTGGAGTCTTTTNGTAGGTGTTAAAGACAATGTGAATACATAATATGCAGGTCACTTTTGATTATTCTCAAACATTGAAATTGCTGGAAGAAATTAAATGCATGCTATTTGCTACTGATCTACTCTGTTTTGTTTTGTTGGATAATACAATATAAACATCAATACCATGGGTTGGACATTTGTTAAAATCTCTTTCTAATAGGTCCTTGGAGACACAGGAAAACTATCATTCAACGATTGTGATTTCCCAGATCTTCCTCATTGGTGACAAAGTTGCAGAAGTCATGGATGACAGACCTACAACCTTTTTATTTTGTGGAAGGATCTTGAAGAAACCCATCCCTATTAGAGTTGTAGCGTGGAGCCAAGTTCTGAATAAGGTAAAAGCTTTCAATTTAAGAAGAACAAGAACCTTCAGTGATTTATACCGCTCAGGGTAGCCCCCTCAGATGCAAAAAGCTGTCTGTTATCAATAGGAGCCCTGATAACCCCTAACATGTCAGATCATTATTTTGTAATTTTAAAAACTACATAATTTCTTCAACAGCTGAAAATTTTAATTCAAATTAAGGTTACACCCCATTGATCCCAATAATCTACAAAATCCTTATGACCTTCCTGCTTCAAATAATGTTGTAGTGAATTTTTAAGAATAGCTTTTACATTGATCTCTTCAGTCAGAGTCAAAGCTGATTATAACATTTTATATGTAGGGTTTTAATGCACTCTGGTTCTGCCATCAAGTTAATAATAAAACATCAGTTAATTACATCAAATAGACTGGTGTCAATTGACAACAAATTTCATTGCTTGATGGTGAAATCAATTGGCTTCCCCAAACAAATTCTAGGCATTGATTGGTTCTTGAATATCAATATCAATCAATTTATAAATATTCATTGGTATTGATTGATCGTGATTGTCACCAATATTTGATTTCATTGATTGGATACCCCTGTTTTTTTTCAACCATGGCTAGGCAGGTTCCCAGGGGAGGGGCCGGGGAACAGGTCACCCTACCTATCCTAGTCTTTATGTAAACATGGCACTCCTCGTGCATGTCTTCAGGGGCAAACGAAAAATGTAAATCCCTCGATTAATTCGAAACTTTTTAAAGCAAAGAAGAAAATTGAAATTAAATCGCCCACGAAATGCATCACGGGCGCGCGCAAACCATCTAGTTGTAGCGCGCTCAATAATTCCACTGGAAAGTTGCACGAGGTAGCTCTTCCATGCCAGTTTGAGCCCAATGACCTTCAACTACATGAGTTCCATTGTTCTCGCTATTGTTTACATTGAACAAAGACTGAATGCATAATTATGTATGGGGTTATATGGAATATTCTTGCCCCAAGACTTTACCAAGTCCACTTTCCAAACAACCTGTACTTCAAACGGTTTCAAACTAAATACAGTGGCAACGAAGCAGTGAAAGAGTGAACACCGGAAACGTGTAGTAACTTAGCTGCTGACCGCACGCGGGAACTCTATCCTACACGTTACGTGAGAGAAAGGACAACGCGAACCCATTCTCCTTACTGAAGCACTCTATCCTTTTTTTTGCCAAATTTTCATGGAACATTCATCATCAATGAGACCCTGAATTAAACCAGCCAGTATTACTTGAATGCAAATCTCCATGGAACCAACTGGTATTCGCCAGTTAATTAACAGCTCGGTGGAGAGAATTCTTGTTATCACTGATGCGTTCGATTCATCAGTGCGAAACTAATTTCCGTTAAGAGGAAAGAGGGGGTCGAAGAATATAATTATTCGCATCTTAACGGCTTGTAAATATAACACTGAGTCATTTTTCAGGTGTGAATTCAAACGAAAGTACCTTTTTTCGATATTTATGTTTCATTAATTGTTTTTTCTCAAATTTATCTCCTAATTGATAGCTTTTAAGCTTTAACCTTTTTCAATACAGGAGGGTGGTAGTTTAATCTGACAAAAAATACAGCCTACAATGTTCATTGGGTTGTAACGCTGGTTATATTTTTACTAAATTCCAATTGCTATTCATCAAATTAAATGTTGGTCATATGTTTTTCCAAAAATCTAAAAGATGAGAATGTAGGAGCTGCAATTAACTGGTTACACGGACCTACAAATTAGCATAATTTGCTTCACAGTATTGCATGAGCTCGAGTATAGAAAACAAATCCAACAGCAGCCAATCAGTGCTTCGCAAAAGGCTAACATGTTATTTAGAGAGAATAACTTCCATCAGTTGAAAAAAATGCATTACAGTTTGCGCGACCCACTACGAACGAGGTTGCCGAACTTCTGTAGGCATACTGACGGTGAGAATGTTTTAATCAAGTAAAAGCTTCTTACGTTGGTGATCCTTGATCATTACTCTTCCTTTTCTTTTATTTTTTACCGGCCAGCGGAACGAAGCGCAAATCGAAAATTTACGGTGAGCTTCTTGTGTTAAGCCTATGCATAATCAAGCCGTTATTATGTACTGAAGATGAACCAAACGTGACAAATACCAACTTACCACCTGACATAACCAAAATTCTCCGACCCCTCCCCCCTCTGGGGGGATAAACAACGACAGGTGCCTAAAACAGCACGAAACAACAAAATAACAAGGGCACATCTTTGCGCCAAATGGAGACTGTTGTTTCTATATTTTCTGCCATTATAGGCATTTACTAAATATCTGCCTCACAGCTTGCCTCACTTCCTTAATTTTCCAGCAGTAAAGAAAAGGATTAATCGTTGAATTCAAGTAAATCAACGTGGCGGTGCATGTTCCAGCGATAAAAATAGGTAGAGGTGTTCCAATCCGAAACGCAATGGCCTCTATTACAGAAAATGGCAGATAGCATATAACCAAAGTGAGATGAACCCATAATGCACTATAAACTGTCGACTTGAATCTTAGCGCTCTGTTCATTTGAAAACTGTTTTGCCGAGCGTGACTATCGCGAATTCTAACTCGCTGCCGGCTTCGAAGAAGAAAGAAGATGCTAGAATAACTGTAGGCAGAAATGACAATGCTCT